GGATGCAGACCTGCTGAGTCCCTTAGCATCCCAGAGTCCTTCTTACCACGGGATGCAGACCTGCTGAGTCACTTAGCCAAGCCTCCAGACTCCTCAAGTTGACACAGTGTATCAACCTTAACAGCTAGAGTGGTGACTTCTTTATTTAGCCTTTGCTTTTCAGTGATGCATTCTGTTGCGTGGCTTTTGCTTCTGTGGCAAGTTGCAGCCACCTCCATTTATTTGAGAGTTTTTCCTCGAGTTCCAGGCAGTCCTACTTCCTCAGACACTTGGGTGCTGGGAATACAAGTTTGAAACACCATGCCCAGCTCACACTGTATTTTGATGCTGAGCTCTACTCCCAATCAGCCTGGAAGGATTTTAAAAGAAATATCTTAGGACTTTCAGAACTTCATGTTATTCTTGAGAATCTTTTTATAGTGGCTTATCTATATAGTTGAAATGCAGGTGTTTTAGAAGAAATTGAGTAGAAACTCGTCATTTGACTTATAGTATTGACCAACATAGGAAAGATTAAAATATAACAATGTTAAAATTATGCTATGTTTAGTTTTCTGCACTGATAATATCCCCCTCCCCCTTTTTGAGACGGGGTCTTGCTATGTAATTCAGGCTGGCCTTGAATTCATGGCAGTCCTGCCTTGACTTCCAAGTGCTGGGACTACAGGAGTGCACCACCACACCAGGCTTTTATCTCTTTTTGCTAATGATACCAGAATGCCTAGTGAGACATCTCTTTTGTCTAAAGTTTTTATGCTGTGGAAAAATTAGGCTTACTTTTTCCTTTTCTTGATGTAACTTGAAATCATGTAGTATAAGCCTGAATCTCTCTATTTAATTATTATTTAATCATTATTTAGCCCATTCTAGTTCCTAGTATAGTTTTACTCTGATAAAGCTGTGTGGGATATTTTGCCATGTTAGTGAAAGTATATTGGATATATAGTTCTGGAAAACTTTGCACATAGTTCTTCTGGAAAATGACGATGTATTCAGAAGTGTTATATGGTACATAAGTACTGTATTCTTAAATAGGTTAATTTTTAAACTGTTATCTTTCATTTGTTTCAGTGTCCCTGAATGAGATTTCATTGCTAGTGGACACCACATATTTAAAGAGGTTTGGGTTGTGGAAAAGTAAGGACGATGACCACAGTAAGAGGAGTCACGCTATTCTTTTCCTCTGGGTGTCTTCAAGTTATCTTCAAGAGATTCAGACCCAATTGGAAAACTCTATTTTAAGCCAACAATGTGAGTATAAAATAATTTCTAAATTTTAGGATAAAATAAATAATTTTATTCTAAAATAACAAAATAATTACTTCATTGAATTGAATTGAAATAATTTCATTGATTCAAATTATGCCTAATATTATGTAAGATATTTTGTTCAGTTGATTTCACCTGATAATTTTATTCAACGAAATGAAATGATTTTCTAGAATAAATAATTTATTTAAATAATACTTTTAAAAATCTTAAATTTTGTTTACTTAGAAAACAAAGAGTTCCTGTATTTCATATTTTTAGGCAGTTCTTATCGTTGGCTACCTTTTTTATGTGTGTCTTGCCATTGTTTCATAATGAAATATGACAGTTTACTAGTGATAAAGTTAAGTAAAATAAAGATTTCTTTACTAGTATCATATTTTTCTGTTTCTAAAGAAATAAAAATCAGCATACTCATGTATCATGCCTCTAATACTGTGTTGGATGCTTTTCTGTATGCATATATAGAAAATATATATCTTGAGATATTTCCCACCCAGTTTAATTTCTGTTTCCTAATGGAGTCTGCTTTAGAATTAGGCATAAAAAAATGAGTGTGGTTCTTTCTTATCTCTTTGACCCTAACCCTTTCTTTTTTTTTTTTTTTTTTTTT